TGGACCGTTGTGCTGGGTCCCACTCTGCTCCCAGCGCAGAGCCACAACATGGCGAGTACGTTCATATTTCTGGGAAGAATATACTCAACAGATGGAAGCGTAGTACTATTTTTACCATTGCTGGTGCAGCAGCATGTAGAGAGCATGATAATTGATTATCTGAGACAACAGAAACGCACAGGAACTAGAATTTCAAGGATTAGGGTCTCCCCGAGGATTTCCTTCGAGGTTCAGTGTCTGGGGGTGTAGAAGAGCAGAGGGGCACGGGGCGGAATTCCTCACCCCACCAGCGGGAGAGAGAACCTTTGTGGTGGAAACGGAACCACGGCTTTCTGTTCCCATCTGCCGTCAGCCTCTGGAGACAATAATGTTAAGGGGGATGTGGGCTTCCTCTGCTCATCGCCACAGGACAGGAGCCTAGAAGCAGTTGTCTGCACTTCTATAGCAAGGCTGTTCAACTTCTCACAGATTTTTTTTTTTTTGTCCTACCACAGACATTCAGCTAATGCCTGTGTTTAACGTGTCTGGGGCTAACGGTCCCGTGTTTCATCTGTTTTAAAGGACTTTTACGGAAATTAGGTGGCAATTTTACCCTGAGTAAGCAGGCTAATATTCTGTCACTCTGCATTACTCAAGTGGCCATCGCTCTTAGAAAACAGATGTTATGTGTTTTCAGTTAAGTGGCATTAAACTTTTGTGGACCGAGCAGTAGGATTTCATTGCAAATGCATTGTCCCGTTTTAGTGGAAGCTTTGCATTAACAAGTTCCATCTTAATAAATTACTCTGTTCAACCTGCCTTGTGACTTCTACTATCGCAAGATCCTGCTCTTAGTATTAAAATGTAAGCACAGATTTCCTCTCCCAAGGCTAAGGCTGCATAAAAAGACTTACACTGAAGCTAAGAAATCCCCTGTCTGGATCAAGATAATTTTTCTCTGGGAATAAGGAGAAACAAATAGCCATGCACTTTGGAGAGGAGGAAATTCTGCCGTAGATTGTTCTTCCTCCGTCTTGTTAAAAAAAGGAATCTTGACTTAATATATAGTCTGTTTCCAAACTATTGGCATCTTTCACAAATATAGGCTGGCTGGCTTATGAACAGATAGCACAGTTTGCGTAGCCAAAGATAGTTGTCATCATGCACTTATTAATGAGTACACATATCTCTGAGCATCAAATGCTGTGCTATTTTCAGAGGGGTCCTTTCAGATCCCGTTTTCTATTCTTTTTTTTAGAATTTTTTTTTCTTACCCTCCTGCCATTTTCCTTCAAAGCTCAGTGGTAAAAAGCAGAGAGGAAAGGAACCCTGGAAAGGAGATATTCTCATCTGTCCAGCTTCCCCACGTCAGGAGCTACTCTGTGCATGTCATTCCTGACAGATGTTTGCCTAATCTGCTCTTAAAAAACTCCACTGATGGGGCTTTGACAGTCTCCTTAGGCAATCTGCTCCAGCGCTTTGCTGTACCTATCATTAAGAAGGGTTTCCCGATACCTAACCTGCAATTAAAGGCCACGATTTCCCTGCCATCAGGCTGACCTTACAGCCAAGCCAGCTCCACCAAGTCGGCTGCAGGTTCCTCACTCGATCTTCCTTGCCAACGCTGCTCCTTGGGGAACGTGCTCTCTTCTGCCAGGAGTAGCCGGGGCGGTGCGAGTGCCACCGGTTTTGTCGAGCGTCCAGCCCGGCGTCCCACGGGCCGGCAATGGGCAGGTTGCCCTCTCGGATCCCATGCAGCTGACGGGAAGGCGGCCCCCTGCCAGTAGATGCTATTGAATTAGGAGATTCAGTAAATCCCGGGAGAGGCGCTGCCACAGTAAACTTGCAGCAGTTTTGCGCTGATAAAACCAGCAGCGTTCGCCGTGATCCCAGGCCTCAGAACGGGAGCTGAAGCCTTTTTTGTCCTGGAACAAAATGTGCTGTGAGAGCAGTCGTACCATATATTGCATATATGCAATCAATCGCATCTAGTGCTTTGGACATACATTTTTTGATGAGAGCATTTCTGTAACGATTTTAGCAGGTCGTGGTCTTGGCTTAGGATTTTTTTTTTTCCAGTTGCTTCCTTTTAAATATTAGCAGGCGAAATGCATCCCATTTTGTCCTGGAACAAAATGTGCTGTGAGAGCAGTCGTACCATATATTGCATATATGCAATCAATCGCATCTAGTGCTTTGGACATACATTTTTTGATGAGAGCATTTCTGTAACGATTTTAGCAGGTCGTGGTCTTGGCTTAGGATTTTTTTTTTTCCAGTTGCTTCCTTTTAAATATTAGCAGGCGAAATGCATCCCATGGCAGCCAGGCCTGATGGAGAAGCTGTAGATGCCAGCCTGCCGTGAGTGAGGTCGAGGTGCTGGGGAGCTGAGGTGGTTGCTTACTGGTGTGCAGCAGCGATCGAGAGCGAGTCAGTGTAGATACAGGCATATCACAGTATTGCCGTGGCAAGATAAACTCTGAGCTACTTTTTTATTACCCTTAGAACAGCGCTGAACACTGTAAGAGCGTTTCCTTCTGCAAATTATTTACAACTGGAAGATGGTAGTAACGAATTCATGTCAAGCAGCCGGGGAAATAGCCCTGACTGCCTCTCGGCAGTTTTTTTTACAATGAAAACCAGCTAGCTAAGCTAGGTTTACTTTCACTGCCTGAGTAAATGATCTCAGTATGTAGCTAAACTGTTTTTGAGACTAGGAGTTTTTGGGAACATCCAACATTAAGTAAAATGAGGTTTGGATCGGGGGGGGGGGGGGGGGCATGTTGCCATCAGCAGGGGTGAATAACCTTTGTGTTACTGGCAATTTTGGTAAGCGGGTCACGGTCAGATGGGTTTGTCTGTATATTTTGACACACACACTACAAACACTCTGATATCCATTTCATTTTACAAGGTGGGTGCATGCACCGAGATAATGCACCGAGGGGGTCACTGGCAGGGTACAATGTGCCAGCCGTCACGTGCACAGCATCTAGAGTAGTGCCAAGATATATTTTCGGGGGTCTGGGGGCACCGGCGGCATTCAGAGCCCTACATAACACCGGTGGCCCATGTAACATCTCGCTAGCTCTTGTCACTTGAGCATCCCCTTGGCACCTGTGATCCCCAGCTGACAGGTCCGTTTCTATTTGTGCAAGGCATTTTTTTAAGGCGTTCTTCCCCCAGTTGTCTTCTAGATGACCTGGAGGAGCTTCAGTAAGTTGCCCATGCTCCTTCACTCAGGGAGCAAAAAGAAGAAGAAAGGACAGAGTTTGTTTTCAAAATGAGAATTGGTTTTGGTTTTTGGCTTGTGGTTTGTTTTTTTTTTTAACAAAACTGTCAAATTTGGACTTTGTATTCCACACAGCGTGGGAGGTAGATTTATTGCATGTGAGAGGTTTCAGTTTCAAACTAATAATTAGAAGAATACATTTAAACCTTTGTCAATAGAAAAGTGATTTCAGGTGCTCAGGAATGCTCTGCCTCTTCCTTGTGGTTTGAAGGAAAAATTTTAAATATTTTCCACCCTGCAGCTATTGAGGGCAGTGAAAGAAAATACCTATAAGCTGCTAGGAAACGTACAGAATAAACTTGTTTCCCACTTCCCGCTCCTTGTAATAATCACCAGTTGTAGGTACTACTCCAAACATGCTTTAGGACAAACTTTGCACTTTTAAAAACGGTATTTTCTGTTGGGCAGAGTTTGTTCACACCCCATGGCAGAGAAGCAGAGGCCCAAGTCGCAGCCTGCTGGACTCAACGGGCTTTCGATGAGGTGCAACCCCTTCATGTTTTCGTAAAAATCCCCGGCGCCGTTAACCCGCGGCTCCCCTTTCCCACCCCGTCTCCCCGGAGAGA